TTCCACTCCTGGCCAGCTGCAGTCCCCACCCTGCAAGATGCTTCACCGCCCCATCTGTCTGAGTTCACCAGCCGTGTCTGACCCAACACACTTGGGGTTGTGTGTGGTAAAGTGTGTGCTTTTGGTTGTGGTATATTGTGGGGTTTGGGGACTCGAAGAAGACCATGTCCCTCCTCCCTCATTGTGTCCAGACCATTGTCTTCAGATTCCTTTAAAAAACCTGTAAAACCAGATTATGGACTCTGGAGTGCAGCCAGGAGCTCTGCCCACCTTTGAATTGATTGGTCTGCATTAGCAGTGTTCAAATAATGCTGTTTCTTGATTGGAGCCCTGTAAGGATGTCAGAAAAGTTATTTAAGTTTCAGGCCACCTGGGTGGAGGACTTTTTTTTTTTTTTTCTTCCCCTGAGAGCTGAATGGCTAAATTGGGAGCCAGAAAACCTGCTCCCCATGAAGGGGTCTCCTCCCCTTCCTCCTGCTTCACTGGAGAGGCAAAAGCTATGGGATGGGAAAGCCTTGAGGTACAGAGAGAGAAAGTCTGTCTCAGGGCTTGAGACCCCTGTTTTCTCTCTCTTCTTTCCCCTTATGCTTTTTCTGGGTTTTGAGTGGGATGATACCATAGGGGCTATCAATCCCTGCAGCAAACTAGCCAAGGTTGGAGCTTGGCAATTTTGCTGGCATGCTCTGGGCCAGGGCTGAGAGCCTGGCATGTTTTAGTTGCTGTTGTAACTTCTTTTGTGTTCGGCATACCTGTGTCGCTGAATCCCAGCTGCATGTCTTGCTGGCAATTTTGGTCACACAGGCCTTGAATGGGATGATGCCATGAGTGTATTATTCCCTAGTGCAGACTGACCAGGAATGCAGCCCTGACAGTTACTGGCCCCCTGTGCTGGGGGTTGTAGTGTTTCAGCATGGTGGTATAGCTGAGACTGGATGTCCAGGCTGCAGCCATAAGACTGGGCTCTTTTTGCTGTTTCACAATTATTACATTTCGGCTCACCTGTGTGGGGCTGAACCCCAGCCATATGTTTGGCTGACAGAATTGGTCCAGGATGAAGCCCTGGCACTTCTTGTTTATCCAGGCCTCAGGGCAGTATAGGCCTGGCCAGCTCTTTGCCACCCAGTCCAGGCCCAGCAAAATAGGCCTGGGCCTCCTTTGGTCTCTTTTGCAGTTTATGCTCCAACCAGGCAGTGTAGTTGGGTGCTAGTTGTAGTTCAGGCCCAAGCCAAGATAGGCCTGGTCCCTTTTTGTTGTTTCATAGGTTTTGTTGTATGTTCAGTTCCTGGTCCAGGACAGGGCTGAGTCCCTCCTTTTATTGTTTTAAAGCTGTTGTGTCTCAGCCTAGCTTTGTCACTGAGCCTCTCTGTACATTTGCTGCATGTCTGGGGATGGCATGGTTTGAGTCTGGCACATGTTGTTGCTTTTGTAACTCTTTGACCTATGCAAGCAGCATGGTTGGCGCTGATTGCAGTTCAGGCTCTTGCTGTTTTCCTGCCTTTTCTTTGAGTTCTCTTGTGGTTTTCTGCCCCTGCAGAGCTGGGATTAGGACTAGAAATTTTGGGGTGCAATATGCTGATGAAAGCTGCAGTTAAACCCTTAAAGCTACCACATGGAAGTAGAGATCGGTGCTACAGCTTTGCAGGGAGCAACAAGGAGTCCCTTGCAATACAGAAGGACTTGGGCTCTCTAGCATGGGCGACTGGTGCCTCTTGAGTCTGGGGGAGCACTCGCAGAAGTCGGTATTGGGGGCAGCAGTGGGGACGGAGCTGGAGAGCACCGCTAGCAGAGTTGGTGGCAGGGACATCCCGGGGGATGGGGGCACATGCCCCCATGTCCTCCTACCAGTCGCCTATGTTCTCTAGTAACTCCCTGTGGTGCAGCAAACCCATTGAGTAGCTCATAAGACTCTCCGGTGTGGGTCTACCCTCTCCAGTGCACTGCTGAAGGGCAGGTATAGGGGTGCAGGCCCCCAGAACTACCCATTGGGGAGCCCCAGGTCCCAGACTGCCTGGGTATGGGTAAAGTCTCCATAGGAGGGTACCACCTATACACTCTATTTTGTAGTTGATAGTGTTTTAAAATTATAGTTAGTGTTTATTTTTTGTTTTGTCTTTATTCTTTGTAATAAATTGGGGGGGGAGGGGCTGTGCTTGTGAGAGAAGAGTTGTTGGTTTTATTGGACACTTTAGTGTTTCACAGGTAGTTTGGGTGGGGGATTGAGCCCAGGCAAAATATATTTAGTACTCCAAAATTGAACCCAGCCCTTTTGCTGAGCACCTGCCAACAGCACCAAGGGTTACAATGGGTTGACTGATTTCTCAAGGTTGGGGAAGTGCAGTATCTTTCATCTGTCTGGATGCCAGCAGAGCATTTCATACAGTGCTGCATGAACACCACATGCCCCCGGAGGCTGGGGGGGCAGGGCGAGCTCCCGCAGGCGGCAGCAGTGCTGTTGGCGGTGGGAGTGTGGCAGCAGCAAATGGGGAGCTCCCGCAGGTGGCTGTGGTGCTGTCGGCAGCAGGAGGTGTTTGGGGGTGGCAAGCGCTGACCAGTGAGCGGTTGGCAACCACCCGCAGACGCCGCCAGCAATCGTGGACCACCTGCAGACACTGCCAGCGGTGTCTGTGGTGAGGTGGGGGAGTGGCAAGCAGTGTTTTCACAGTGGGTACACTGCCATGCTCAGGGGGTGCACATGCACCCATGTGAACCCTCTACGTGACACTAATGCAGTGCTGCATGAGAACTTTGTTAAATGGCAGAAGATGGGGATGAAGGAGTCCTTGTGTAGTGCGTGAGGGGGAGTGTTGGTGGAAGCTCTTCAAGGCTTAGTTGGCATTGCTCTCATGTAATGTTTTCGTTAATGCAACCAGAATAAGAAGCGGGCATAGGCGTTGACTTTTATTTTTGCTAGCGTGGGGGGTCCTAAGATGATGGATATGTGGAAAGTTTTAAGTGTTTCAGGTGACAGCCCTCTTCCTGAGGAGGGCCAATGCCCTTGGGCCCCCGTGTACTTGGTACTCATGGAAGCAGATGTGCGTTGGTGAAACTTGTTGATGAAAAGGCTGGGAAGCTTAATGCAGAGGAGGATCAGTACATAGAAGAGGAACTAGATGGCTGTAGGGCTGGAGCACCAAATCTGGGCTGCAGTTCAGTGTTACAAGGTGCAAGGTCATGCACTAGGCAGTTACAAGGGGGACTTCTACTGTACACTGAGAGCTCCCCAGTTGGAAACCACTAAGGAAATTTGGATCTCCCAGTTGATGCGAGTTAACTGTGAAACAGGGGAAAAACCTGCTAGGCCTCAGAAATGCTCAGCCTGGGTGTTGTGCCAACGTTGTGTACCTTAAGATCCTATCAGGGTGCTGTGGTGGCAGGCCACACCATTTAGCACCCCTAGGTGTGCCAACGTGATGCACAAATTTAAGGTGGTGCTTTCCAATGGGGACCCTATTGTAAAAGAACAAGAAGCAATGGTCTCCAGTTGGCACAAGGGAGCATTAGGTTGGATATTAGAAAAAACTTTTTCACTAGGAGGGTAGTGAAGCACTGTAACCAGTTACCTAGAGAGGTGGTGAAATCTTCATCCTTGCAGGTCTTTAAGGCCCAGCTTGACAAAGCTTTGGCTGGGATGATCTGGTTGGGGATGATTCTTTGAGCAGGGGGATGGACTAGATGACCTCTTGAGGTCCCTTCCAAGCCTCATTTTCTGATTCTGTGATTCTAAAAGCATGCCAGCCTGCTGGGGCTTTTTGGAGTGCTGGGGAATAGGAGCCTTACTCCCTGTTTCCCTCATCAAAACTCAAGAGATGAGTAAGAGCGAACCCTGGGGACTGTGGAGGGGCCATGCCTTGAGTCTGAAAAGGTTGAGAACAGCTGAGCTGGAGGCGGCTCCAGCTGGAAGGGGCAGCAGGGCTGGCTGCTGTAGGGGTATAACTAGATGAGGGAGGGGGTGCTGCCAGGGCCTGCCTGCCCTTCCCCTCCTGCCTGGGTTCTCAGCATCTTGACCCCCGCTAGCCTTCCCATAGCCAGAGCTTCCTGGCTGGGCCAACGGCAAGGTCCACAGGGCTGGGCCAGGGCCCCACCCAGCTCTGAATATGACGTGGCTGCAGCCGGGGTGGGTGATAGATCCCAGGGTTGCCCTGTGCGTGGCATCTTCCACGGAGGCTGGGGCCAGAATGCCAGATGGGATGTGAGTGCGGGTGGGGCTGCGTTGCAGGTGGTGCTGTCTGGGCCCAAGCTGGAGCCCCCAGCCCAGGCATTGTAACCCTGGGCAGGGAGGGGCGGCGGGTGCAGAGCTGCAGTGGCTGGGGTGCGGCCGGGTGCAAGCAGGTGGGCAGGTCACTCTGCCTGTGCCTGTCCCCAGCCTGGCTGAGCCCTGCACTGAGCTGCCCACACCAGGGCGGTGCAGAGGCAAGGTGGCCTGTAAGATGTACCCTGCGACTGACCTCAGCTGCTGGCACCTGAGCAGTGAGAAGGGATGGCATTGCTGGTGGCACCTGGAAGCTGTGGGCAAGGCGGAGCAAGGGCAGATGGCGCTGGAGGCCCACAGCCTTGGCTTGGCTGCTGTCACTGCGGCTGTAGCCGGGAGCTAAGCCACCTTGAGCTTGGCTGGGGCTGCAGGCCCTGGGGACTCCCTGCCTGTGCCCTGAGTCTCCTGTTGGGACGTGAGCAGGCCAGCCCTGTGCTCTCGGCCACTGAGGTCATGGCCCCTGCTGGGGGCTGGAGCCCCCTCAACCAGATTTGTGTGGAGCCCTGGAGCTGAGACTGTTTCCAGCCGAGCTGTGGGTGGGGAAGCCCCTGCCTGCTGTCCTGTGCAGGGCTGGGCAAAGTAAAAACGTCATGACTGGTTCAGATGGTGGCAGGAAACACTGCTTATATCCCTGGTTCCCCTGTGCTCTGCACTGCTCCTCTGTGCAGTCTCTGGCCTCACTGCCCTCCATCACTATGGGGGCTGATGTAGAGGTCTGAACTGTTCTGGCCAGAAGGGGAAACATGAGTCCTTCTTGCCTGTGAGAACTTACCTGCTCACTACCTCCTCACTCCTCACAGCTCCCTCCCAGCACGAGGCTGCTGCTGTTGGCCATTCCCACATAGTGTGCACCACTTAATCCATCTCTGTCTCCACCCCTTTTCTTTTTGTCTTCTTTGCAAAGCCAGTTCTTCAAAGCCTTGCCCAAGGCCTGCACAGCACAGGAAGCAGCACTGAATGGGATGCAGTTCTATTCTGGTCTGCGGGCAGAGGATGGGCACTAGGCTGGTGACTACGGGGGACCTTTCTTCATGTTGCCAGGTACCGTAAGAGGAAAAGGTGGTTCCAGGTGTTCTGTCCAGAAATCTCCTGCCTGCTGGATCACATGTGTGGAGGTACCCTTTAGGGTAGATGGGGTCTGTGTTGCCTGTCCCTTTTGCTGGTTTTCTGAGGGTGATTTGGACTCGGGCTGTATCCCAGCCTAAGATGGTAGTGCAGATTCTTGTCATTTCCCAGCGTGCTGCTGAAC